GAGTGCCATCACATCCATTTTTGGGTCGTGACACATATTATCTAGGGGGGAAATACAATAATTTTATCATTTTGAAATATAAATACTTATTATTATTTTGAAACAAACTAATTAAAAACCATAATTAGGACTTAGGAGTCAATAGAATGAAGCAAAAGGACGGACTTGACTCATCTCCATTACACCTTCTCTTCATTTCCTTAAGTGCATATTTAGATAAGTGACATTTGTCATATTTATAATTTAAAGGTTTGAATTAAATTAATTTAGCAAGCCTCTTAATCATAGTTAAAAAACAAATTAGTAAAACACTCACCAGCTTTGATAAGAGAATTTTCATCTTCCACTAATTTTAACTCCTCATTTATATCATCAATTTAATTATATTTTCTGATTTCTCGTTGATATAATTATAATTTTATTTAAAACTTTAATCAATTGAAATAAGAATATCTTTAATAAAAAAAAAAATACGTAGAAGATACAAAATACAAAAAAATAACTCGAGATAATCTCTAAAAAATTAGTATTAAAATACATTTTTTAGATCAAGTTTTCTAAATTAATTTTAACATATACCATTGTTTTTCTTATTGAATCTTGTAAACTACCTTTGACGGAAAAAAAAGTCTTAAGTATTTTTTAATTAGTAAAAAAATAGTATTTGACAAATAAATTATGCCAAAATAAAGAGAAAATGGAGAGGAAAGAAGATATTGTATAATCTTTAAAGTAAAAAAAAATATTGTATAATAGTAACTTTAGATTAGGAAAATGATATTAATTCAGAGGTAAAACATATATCATAAAAATAATGATATTAGTGAGGAGAGGAGCCAAAATTAGTGAAAGATGATATTTGTTTTACTAAAGTTGGTGAGTTCTTTTTTTAATTTATTTTTTAACTATGGTTCAGAGACATGTTAAATTAATTTAATCTAGACCATTAAATTATAAATATAACAAGTGTCACTTATTTAAATATGCACTTGAGGAAATGGAGAAAAGATGTAATGGAGATGATCCAATTAGAAGCTTAGAATATTAAACATTATCGAGGCACAAATATAGTTTCCTAGTGTTTTCCAACAAATAATGTCTTGGCACGTAAGCATAATTGTGTTTCCTATTATTGGTGCATAACGGTTCTTGGTGTTTTTTTCTTGCAAATTTTTTCTACAAAAATGGAAAAAAAAAATGGACCCATCCCACTTGCTTTACTAAGTAATTTTCTTCGTAAAAAAATAAATAAGAAAACCTTTCAACTCAACTAACAAACGCAAGAGTTTAAGGATGTGGAGCCCTATCATAAATTAAATAAACAAGAAAAAGACAATATAAAGTTTAACTATATGTCTTATGTTGTATGGAGCGTGGTATTGATGGGTCAAGAATTCACACGTCTAGAAAAGAAAAATAGAAAAATGAGAATATTGAGATGAATGTGTGGATATAATAAGAGAGATTATAAAATTTGAAGCAAAAGGACGGACTTGGCTCATCTCCATTACACCTTCTCTTCATTTCCTCAAGTGCATATTTAGATAAGTGACATTTGTCATATTTATAATTTAAAGGTTTGGATTGAATTAATTTAACAAGCCTCTTAATCATAGTTAAAAACAAATTAGGAAAACACTCACCAACTTTGATAAGAGAATTTTCATCTTCCACTAATTTTAACTCCTCATTTATATCATCAATTTAATTATATTTTCTGATTTCTCGTTGATATAATTATAATTTTATTTAAAACTTTAATCAATTGAAATAAGAATATCCTTAATAAATAAAAAAAATACATAGAAGATACAAAATACAAAAAAATAACTCGAGATAATCTCTAAAAAATTAGTATTAAAATACATTTTAGATCAAGTTTTCTAAATTAATTTTAACATATACCATTATTTTTCTTATTGAATCTTGTAAACTACCTTTCACGGAAAAAAAAGTCTTAAGTATTTTTTAATTAGTAAAAAAAAAAAAAGTATTTGACAAATAAATTATGCCAAAATAAAGACAAAATGGAGAGGAAAGAAGATATTGTATAATAGTAATTGTAAAATATATTTAGAATATTTTCTATTTTTTAAGAAATAAAGTTGGTCTCCTCTTTTTTCCTTAGTTATTTTGCTTCATTTTTTGGTCAGATATAAAAAAAAATAAAAAAACGAAGGATATTCTTTAACTTTAGATTAGGAAAATGATATTAATTCAGAGGTAAAACATATATCATAAAAATAATGATTTCTTTTCCTAATTTATTTTTTAACTATGGTTCAAAGACATGTTAAATTAATTTAATTTAGACCTTTAAATTATAAATATAACAAGTGCCACTTATCTAAATATGCACTTGAGGAAATGGAGAAAAGATGTAATCGAGATATCCAATTAGAAGCTTAGAATATTAAACATTATCGAGGCACAAATATAGTTTCCTAGTGTTTTCCAACAAATAATGTCTTGACACGTAAGCATAATTGTGTTTCCTATAATTGGTGCATAACGGGTGTTTTTTTCTTGCAAATTTTTTCTACAAAAATGGAAAAAAAAAATGGACCCATCCCACCTGCTTTACTAAGTAATTTTCTTCTTAAAAAAATAAATAAGAAAACCTTTCAAATCAACTAACAAACGCAAGAGTTTAAGGATGTGGAGCCCTATCATAAATTAAATAGACAAGAAAAAGACAATATAAAGTTTAACTATATGTCTTATGTTGTATGGAGTGTGGTATTGATGGGTCAAGAATTCACACGTCTAGAAAAGAAAAATAGAAAAATGAGAATATTGAGATGAATGTGTGGATATAATAAGAGAGATTATAAAATTTGAAGCAAAGGTATTCAAAATAAGGTGGAAATGACGTATGTGATGGACAAGATAAATGTTCGACATACGAAGAGGAGATAAACTGAAATGGTTTGGGAATATGAAGAGAAGATACATAAATGTCTTAGTGAGGAGGCGTGAGAGGTTAACTATGGTGCGTTTGCGTTTGAGAAGAGGTATATGCATGTAGGCCGAAGAAGTATTGATGAGATCGAGTTGATTACAAGACAACACGACACACACGTAACTTATCGATGATATGATTCTAGATATAGAATGATATGAATTTCAAAGATTAGGGTAAAAAATTAATATATAGTTGAATGTAATTGTCTAATTTTTCTATTTTAATGAGTCTCTTCTATTTTGTAGAAAATAAATCTTCAGTCCACATGTAAACACAAGAACCTTAAAATTCTCACACTAAACTTATGCATTGAATTTTTTGTCTTATTTTTTTTTTTCTGTTTGTTTAGTTAACAATTTAAATCTCTCTATTTTGATGTATGTGATTTTTTAAAATTTATCTAATTTAATTTTAAAATGTTCATTATACCTAATTAATTATATAATTTAATTATAATCACACAAATATCAATAATGTATTTTAGACCATAATTTTTATAAAAAAAACTTTCAATTTGTGACCAATAAAATACATCGCATAAATTGAGATACAAAAATATAGGAGTATTAACATTGCTTATTTATTTATTAGTAAAATTAACTTTATCTTATTTATATATGTAGTTATTTAATGTGAAATTGTGGTGGGATGGTTCTTTCATCTTTAATAGGAGATCTTAGATTTAAGTTCGTAAAATGAAAAAAAATCATATAGAAAGCCTTATATATCCTTATAAATGAGCATGAACAAATGCGCAAATCTAAATTTAGTCGATCCCTAATTTAGGTATCATCAAATAAAAAAGAAGAATTAAAAAGTGATATGATCATCATAACGTTAGCTTATACTTTCTTGGGGATTCTAAGACCCGAATTTTATTAATACAAATATCGAACATCGAGTTAGAAACAAAGGAGTGGTACTTATATATGTATATTATCATCATCATAACGTCATGATACTATTGCCTCTACTCCTTAAACCTAATCTTATATATATATATATATATATATATATTATTTATTATTATTATTAGTTCCTCCCATGGCATGATATTGCTTTCTCCCCCTTATATTCTTTTACTAGACACAGGTGCATGTGCGAGTACGGGCCTCTATTATTTTTTAATATTAATTAATGTGATATAGATAAAATTTAGAAAGTTGTTTAAATTTTAATATGATCTTTAGATTTTTTAAGTTATTAATTACTTTTTGTTTGCGAAAATTTAATGTGAAAAAGTCCATTAAGATGTCCATAATTAAAGTAGTTTTCGTCATTGATCATTGACTTTTTACTCAAAGTAGTTACAAGATATAAACAAATATTACCGACATTAAAAATGATAAAGCAATAACTAAAGAATATGAATTTAAAACTACAAGTTATAGCTAAAACGGATCGAAAATATAATACACTAATTAAATAAAGTAAAACAAAAGAAATATTATACACTAATTTAAATTAAAATAGAACAAAAAAAATAATTTTCAATTTTTTTTCCCGAAACACGCTAAAGCAAGCAAATTGTGAACTCTCTTATATAAGAGAATTTACTAGTGTCTCTCTCTATAAGACTATATATACACATATCTTGACCACTTTCTTCCTCTCTCTTCAACACATAATTACTTACAATACAATTTCTCAACAATGAAAGAAGAAGTATGCTTCTCTCTCTCTCTCTTTATCTCTCTTTGTGTGTGGTTTTCAGTATATGTATATATCTTAATCTTCCTTATATATACAACTTGAACATTTACTCTTTGTGAGCATCTACTTAATTTCATAACAACTGACAGACTCAAAATTTGAAGTTTATCATTCTAGAATTGATCAAGTCTTTTTTAATTAAGTTACTGAATTCTGAATTATAATAGTAAGTTTCTCAAAGACAAATACAAGGTAAGGATCAAAATTATAGAATTCTATCGAACTTGTAGCTTCAATCCTACCTCTTATCAAAGGTTTATCAGAAACATTCTTTCTACCTTACAAGATATACAAGTAAGGTTTGCATACATACAGTAGTACTCTTTCTTTTCCAAATCCTACTTATAGAATCACACCGTGTATGTTTTCTATAATTATATGTTGGAAGTATTAGATTTTCTTGGTTTTTAATTTTGCATTGGATAATTGAATTCTTTGTCTTCTTATATATATATATATATATATATATATATATATTTATTATTACTAATATCTAATTTTTATTTTTCTCTATTTTCTGTTCAAGGTTATGTGGCCAAGATTGGTAGCTAGTAAGGTCATAAAGAGATTGGGGAGCACAAATTTTGTGGCAGATTTTCCAAGTGATAATTCAGAATATTTATTAGAAATTCCCCCTCATTTTGATAAAAGATCCGTAAGTTCTGATGATATTATTTTCAATCACGATCTTCAAGAAACTCAAAACTACAGGTAATTAATTAATTATATTAATTAATAGAGAACTAACATCTTAACCACAAATTAGATATTAGTTGTTAGAACTCAACCAATTAATTAATTAATTAATTATATTCTTGAAACATATGTATTCTATTTTATTACTATATTATTTTTATATAATTCTATATTAAATAAAAAGGGCATGATACTAGGATGAATATATGATTCATCAAAAGATCAATGATAATGCATGAAGGGAGTTGGAACTAATCGAGCCAGTAAATTTTGAATACTGAATAGTTCATATATAATTTCACAGGGTTTTCGTTAATACATGGAATGTTGGAGGAGTTGTACCGACTGATGACTTCAATGTAGATGATCTGCTTAACACGTGTCACACCTCATCATGTGACATCTACGTTTTCGGGTATTTTATGAATTTTAATATAAATTTTTTAAATTTCAAAAATAATATTGATATGATTTTTTTTATTTTTTTTTTAAAATGAAGGTTTCAAGAAGTAGTGCCACTAAGAGCAACAAACGTTCTTGGATCAGAAAGTGGAAGAATTTTAGCAAAATGGAATTGTTTAATAAGAGAAGCTTTGAACAAGAAAGGAAAGGAAAATAATATTGGAAATAATGGGAAATTATTTCCACAAGAATTTAATTGTATTATTAGTAAACAAATGGTTGGAATATTGATTTCAGTTTGGGTTAGAAATGATTTACAATCATTTATTAAAAACCCTAGTGTTTCTTGTGTTGGATGTGGTATCATGGGTTGCTTAGGGAACAAGGTAATTAATTAATTAATAATATTATTATTATTTCATTTCCAAATTTTTATTCAATAATATTGTTTTTATCATAAAAATCCTACTTCCCAAGAAAGAAATAGTTCTACCACTACTTAAAAAATCGTGAATTTTTCATCAAATTTTCATCTAATGAGCCATTTTTTGACGAGACGTCGCTCAGAAATTCACACATTTTTTAGTAGTGTAATGAGATATCTTATGTTTAATGAGTAATTATTAACTTCTACTCCTTTTGTCTCGTTTTATGTTGATGGCATGTCTTTCTATTCTTAAAAAAGATACATTTTAATATTTGGAAACAATTTCACTTTAAAATATTCATTTTATTTTTAATGATAAGTTTTAAAGTCTTTTTTTCTTTCTTGAAACTCGTGTTTCGTAAAATAAGATCACATAAATTGAAATAGAAAGAGCGTTACTATGAAAAATGGCTAACTCTAGCATATTTCATAAAATAATGGAAGTTTGTTCTTTTGATTCTCTTGAGAAAATGAATAGTCTTAATATCTTTTAATTTGGTAATTAATTATGATTCAATTTTATTTTTTTTTGCAGGGTGCAGTATCAGTTAGATTTCAATTACATCAAACAAGTTTATGCTTTGTGTGTAGCCATTTAGCTTCTGGTGGTAGAGAAGGAGATGAGAAAAATAGAAATTCAAATGTTGGTGAAATATTTTCAAGAGCAACTTTTCCTAAAGGCCCTTCACTTCAATTGCCAACAAAGATTCTTGATCATGAGTATGTCATTTAATCTTTTATTTTAATTTTTCATCAGATGTTTGATATCTTCCTCGACAATTCATATCATAGCCATTTAGCTTCTAGTGGTAGTGATTCAACTTGCACAAGACCTCGTTAAAAGGAAAATCAATAGAGTTTGAACTTGAAACATCTAGTTCTGATAAGGGTTGAGGGATCATTTATGTCATATGCACCATAACCCTAGACCGTTTATTTATTTATTTATTTTAAAATGTTTGAAACGGTAAGTTAACGATTACTTTGATTAATCAATTTTTATTAGTTAATTTTCTAATCAATGACTAATATTTTGTGGTAATAAGACATGAGTAAGTCCAGAAAATTAAGCTTAACAACCAATTAATTATTGGTTGTTGAAGAGTTAAACATTATTTTGTCGTTAGTTATATATAGTCATCATCAATCGAATCACAATTACTTTTCATGCTTAATTAATTTAATCACCTTTATTATATAATCTTGTTATTATATGTAGCTAAACAGTGAAATAGTACAAAAGAAAAGACAATAATTTCCAACTTGAGCAATTTGGTAATTAAATATGAATTGACCTACAACAAGTTGTATATAAAAATACCTTCTTTTTTCCCCTCCTTCTTCTGTGCCTAATGGTAGAAAGTTGAATATTATTTTTACATTAATAGTTTTAGAAAAAAAATATATTAATTTTTTAAAAATTAAATAAATATGTATATATCTTTATGACATCAATTTTTTAACCTAATTTGAATTGATTGGTTGCAGCCGTGTGATATTTCTTGGAGATTTGAATTACAGAATTTCTTTACCAGAATCAACTACAAGATTATTAGTGGAAAAAGGAGAATGGAATGCACTCTTGGAAAAAGACCAGGTACCTTATTATTATTATAAGAATTAAATACCAAAAAAAAAGTTATTGTTTTCTTGTAATTACATAATTAGGAAATTTGAAGTCAGAAGGAGAGCATTGGAGCAAAGTAAAATTATTTTCGTGTGACCTATAGAAGTTGAAATCAGCCACTAATTCTAGTATCAGAGTAGAATGCATGCCTAAGTCATACCTTTGTTGATGTCCATTCACTCGCTAAAACCTACATGAATGTATGATGCTTTGTGCACGAGGCTAACATTTAGGAGATTCGAAGCTAGAAAAACCTTAATTAGCTTGGTGCAATATAATGATATAAAGTTGCATTTGTACGTGTGACCTATCTAAGTCATAACTCATACGTCTGAGGCGTAAAATTAGTTACTAACGTTTGCATCAGGATAGACTGTCTTAATTAGCTTGAAGCAATGATATAAAATTGTATATGTGTGACCTATACAAGACATAAGTCTGAGGTGTAGAATTAGTAACTAATGTTTGCATGGATAAAGTGTGTACGTCACACCTCCTTAAAGTACGACTAATATTTCTTATAAATATACGCAATATAAACATGAAATACTTTGTGTACTGAGCGATCCTTTATTCGAAGCTAAGGCACTAGAACTAATACTTTAAAAATGTATCTCATGAGAAAAATGTTTAGTTGAGGATGGAGCTCATGGATGGACAAGTATTTGAAGGTTGGCAAGAAGGGATAATCAATTTTGCTCCTACATACAAATATTATCCAAATTCAAGTGAATACTATGGTAGATCAGAGGTCAAAAGAGGAGAAAAGAAACGTTCTCCTGCATGGTAAGTTGTATTATTTAATTACTTGTAATTCAAATAATACACTAATAAATATGTCATATATAGCTACAACAAATAAAGAATTTAGTAGCAATAATATAATTTTCATTATATTATATTCAACAGTAGTAATATTTAATATGAGTATTTATAACCAACACTCTATATAAATGTCGTTTAGTGACTCTGAATGCAATGACATTAACTCAATTGTCGTTAAAAAGAGAAAAATCTATTGTGAGTAAATATCTATATATATGCTAACTTTTTTCTTCTTATTTATTATATTTTAGGTGTGATAGAATAATTTGGTATGGAGAAGGGTTAAAGCAACAATTATATGATAGAGGTGAATCAAAATTATCAGATCATAGACCAGTGAAGGCAATTTTCAGCACACAAATTAGAGTTTCAAAAAAGTTGAAGAAATTACAAACTTTCTTTTTATCAGAAAGATTTGAGAAAATCACAAGCCACTTAGAGGATGCACTCACCAAAAGATGATCATGGTGATTTTCCTTATGTAATTGTTGATTGAGTCCCCACCCCCACCCCCACCCCCACCCCCACCCCCACCCCCACCCCCACTCAACCCATCCACCCACAACTCAATGTATTATATTATGTGATGATCTTGATGTTTTTGTATGAGAGATAATAGTAAAAAAAACATATGGAATATCACTTTATTGCGAGTTTCATACCGTAACTATAGTCATTGTTCCGTTTTTTAAATCAGAACTGTATTAAAACACACCTAGTTGTATAGATGGCGATGATAGTTTTAAAAAGAAAAAGTGAATAACTAATAGTTGGTCTAACCAGCTTCGAGGTGTGTTTTAATACATAAATATATGGTGATATAGATCGAACAAAAATTAAATAGTTGATAGTTAGGATGAATTAAACTCACAAAAAGGGTGATCCAAAAAAATTCTAATCAGAACCTCATGTTTTATAAATATTATCTTCATGAATTGAAATTTCAAAAGTCAAGAAAAATATTTACAAACAAAAATAATAGTGAGTTGAAAAGAAAGAAAATTTAAAATAGAACTAATCAAGATCAATAGGAAGCTAGGAATCTATATAATTAAAAAAAAAATAGAACTCATATACTAACTCTAAAAACGTAACAAATTTTATAACTTAATTAAAGTGTATAATAGTAGTAAAATATTTGATGAAGTGAAATCACAAGATAATTAGTAGTATATTGTAAGTTGGAATATTTTATTTCACAATGTTATTATCAGTGACCAATATATGTCCAAATCAATGCTTTCTCTATCTATGGATTTGCATATTTACTTTAATTTTGTTTTAACTCTCAATTTAAAAATGGGCCATCTTTCTTTTTTTGTTTTTATTAAATATTTTTGGTAAATAAATTGAATGATTTACAAATGATTGGTACAATCTTCAAGCAATTTGATTGGACATAATTAACCAATTAGAGTGGAGAAATTCGTACATATCAATTAATAGAATTTGATTACTTTGGATGTACACACAGACACACATTACAATTTCTTTATTCAAGAAAAATACACACCACTTAATTTTTATAATATAGTTTTATTTTTATGTGCGGAGTGTTTGGTTGTTGGTTTAAAAATAACATATTATCATTGTTTTAATTTATTTGTTTTAAAAAAATTTAGTCTATTTAAAAAAATGTCTTCTTCTAATTTGATGATTCTTTAATTTCAATATCACACGTGACATGCTTAAGATCATAAGATTAAAGGGTATTTTGAAACGTTATATATATATATATATATATATATATATATATATATATATATATATGTTTAGTTTAACATCACGAGATTTAAAAATCTAGTGTATTTTCTTAAATTTATATCAAGTTAAATTAAGACACAAATTAAACGAAGGTGGGTCAACTAAATTAATATAATTGAACACTAGAAGCATGATAATTTGTAGCAATCCAAAAATAATTTGTTTACATATGTTTGTTTTTTTCAGCCAAATAATTTAGACTTGTAATTTTCATAGTGTTTGATGATGTATAGAGACATTATCCTCAATGATCCCTCAAGTGGATTATGCTTTAATTTAAAAAGTTAAGAGGATTATATAAGTTAATGATATGGACTGGCCCATCGAAATTATGGGCTTAGTTTGTCCAATATTGAGACAATTTTAATTGTGGATTTGTTACATGCATAAAGAAGTATATATTTGGTTCATGTACTTAAAATGCATGAATTATTATGTAGAAGTTGTTTATACAATAAATATAATATATGCGTTATTATATTATATATGATATAAAGTATTGAAGAGAGGTGATTAGATATGATATGACGTAGCTGCAGTTTATTGAAGGCATGAGCATAGATATGAAGATATGAAGGTCGATGATAAGGGTAGAAGGTTAGTAAGTAGTTGAGTGATGTATGATTAATGTATTAGTATTGTTATTATTACTCTCTTATTATCTTTTTCTTTGATTTAATTAGTATTACTTGTTTCATTTGTGTTGATAATGTTGTTCTCTCTTTTATTATTTTCAACATGACTTCTTCACTATTATATCTGTTTTACATATATACTTGATTTTTGATATATTTTATTTAGAGTGATGCTCTATCGAAAACAACATTTCTACCTTTACAAGGTAATGCGGAAGAACACATCTTTAAGAGAGGAAATCTTTCTTTCTAGGGAAACTGTGCTTACTAAGCCTGTAAGGCTGCGTATACACCACCCTCTTCAGACTCTACTAATATAATTATACTGAATATATTATTGTTGTTGTCGTTGTAATGTGGTGATTTTCGTGCAGAAACTGCTTACTTTAAGGGCTTTTGTGTTGTTATTCCTTATCTTTATTCATTGTATATTGCTAATATATAAGTGAAATGGTGAAATTAATTTAAGAGTTTGATGACGAGGAGTGACCCATCGAAATTATGGGCTTTTAAAAAAAATTATGAGCTTTTTAAAAAAAAATTAAAAAATTATGGGCTTAGTTTGTCCAGTAAGACAATTATAATTGTGGTTTTGTTACAAGTAACTGTTAATTAAAAGGCCACTAGTTAGAACCTATATATGGATGAGTTTGGTAGGAAGAAAAATGTTATTAAAGAAAATAGTTTTTCGAAAAATAAGTATTTAGTAAGTATATAAACAAAAAAAAATATTATCCTAAAACTATTTATATATAATCCTGTAAAATAATATGAAATGGAGAGTGAGAGTTGGGGTGACAAAAACTAGTAGATATAAATACTTCTATCTATTGTATAAAGTCTTTTAGTTGAAAAAAATTGAACTAGTTTAGTCAAATATTGGAGAAAGAAAGAGTCAAAACATTGGGGAAAAAAGTCGTACTTGCACATCTAGTGTGAACATTAGACCACATGGTGAACACAATAACACCATGTTTAATTAGAAGTTTCGTGTCAAATATTGATAATAAAATTATTTTTGATAAGATATGTTTTATTCTTAAAGTGAAACTTTTAACATGAAATTAAATTAATTGAGCCCTAAACACAAATACAGAAGATACTTTTGATAATGCCAGATTTCTGTATCATATAAGTTGAGTTACCAAATAAATGGATCACTATAAAAAAAGTTATGATGGTGATCGATACTATTTTATCTTTAATTACAAGTTTTTGATACGAGCTATGAGAATTACAATCAGAAACAAAGATTGTTTGCATCGATAATCAATGATAAATTTATGCCATGGATTATGATCTTTTTCATTCATATTACATTGAACTAGCTCGCTAAAAAATGCATGATAAAAATATAAATTCTCATTAAAAGAAATTTTTCATATGAAACAATTAAAAAAAAAAAATCTCACCAATTCAATTAAACTATCTGTAGAAATAGTCATTAAACGTTTCATAAAATTTCAGAAATATAATGAAGGGGAATAAAATCATTTGTTATAAAAGATAATCTTATTCCAGAGTGATTTTTTCGAAGCGAATTTAAATTAATCGGACTCAAAACAAATACAAAATAAACCACTATTGGTTAGTCAATATGATTGATAATGATTATATGGTACAGTAGGTGGGGGTGTGCCCACCTCAGCTCACCTATATTTTTATAATTTTTTTTTCATATTTCCTTTTTGTATAATTAAAAATGGTGTGCTTTCATTCTTTTCCAGCTTATACTCTATAGTCATTTCAATGTCATCAAAACATTTGTCTTCATCCTATAATTGTGAGTATACGTCAATCTTTAATATTAATCCACCAATAGATAGTTGAGTTATGATAGATTAGAGCATAATACATGAACATATTTTTTTATTTGACGTTAACTGATATTTGGCATGTTTTTTAATTTGACATTAGCTGATATTTATGATATTAGATTTTGGGTGTTTCACAAGTAAATACTTAAATTTGTATAAACTTGAATAAGTAGACACATGCATATAACAAAAACAACTTTTAGCGTCAATAAATATGCACAGTAACAAAAAGTGCTAAATCTTTACCGATATTAGTTAATTGTTATTGGATCTAATATAGCCATAGACTTTAAGGACATTTATAAAGAGTGCTAATTATCGTTAAAAATACATATTAAGCAGTTATTAAGCTATTATCGTTAATCAATTGCCGCAAAAGCTATTTAGCTACAAATTAAGTAGAGACTGTCAACAAATTTTATAATTCATTCCATGTTTTGTGAGAGTGGATTGTCTTCATCCAACAATTATGGAGGTTTGTCAAATTAAATTGTGTTCAATATTTGCTCAAAATTTATTATACTTTATGATAAAAATTGGAAAGGGCCAAAGTCAATGATAGTTGTGATTTTTGACATTTTTTTTTGCTTATTATTACATGTAATTAATAAGATCACTAAACCTACTCCACTAATTAGAATATTCTTAGTCAAAACGCACGAATGTTCTACTTTTTAAGTCGTTTTCTCATCAATTTTTGTCTGGATTATTTTCTAATAAAATATGTGCTTCACAAAATTCTGAATTTATTGGAATTCTTGTAAAAACCCTAATATCGTACATGTAATCATAATGTAATTTTAATTATTAACCAAATAAATTTATGGACTTAAAAGATAATCGAGTTTAATTATCTTACACACGCTACTCATGTGATTAACCCTTTTAACAATTGTAATAAAATAGTTGAGATCTCAAATTTATATCTTTCAATTTTTTTTTATTTTGTGCACCTTTAAAAATAGATCCTGCAAAATATAAATTAAAATTTAATCAGATTCCAATGCTAAACATATTTTAAAAAAATAAAAAAAATTAGGCCCTGCCGTCATAAAAGATATGAGTAGTTGTTGGATGTCACTATGAGTGTGATAGTCAATGTTTTAATTGATGAAATCTATTTAATCTTGTTTTAATTTATGTGATATGATTTTGCTTTTCGAAATTTAAATTATATAAATTTTGAAATATACTTTTGTTTATTTTCATAATAATTATGATATAATTTATAATATTTTTTATTAGTTTTTAAAATATTTAAATTTAAATTCAAAATATTTTATTAATTTAATTTTAGTTTTTTAAATTAAAAATATCACATAAATTGAGGCGAAAGAAATAGATACGTAATATATATATATCATGATGTTATTTCTGGATAATATTTTTCTTGTCATCCTTAATTCATAACATCAATTATTAGGATTACTGTTTGCTAATTAACTAAGGTGAGAATTATTATCATTACTTTGCTTTAACTCTCAAGTTGTATATTCATCTAAATCACCTAAACCTAATCCCACCAAACTAATCACTGTTGATATAAAGTATAAACTATAAACAGGTAGGGAAATTAGGTAAAGGGAACTAATTAATTTTAGAAGATAAAATGCCAAACAAATAAAAATTAAACTACTTGAAATAATTAAGGCACTGATATACCATGTTGGTTATAAATACTCATATTTATTAGTGTCAGTAAATATAGCATAGCGACAATTATATTATTGTCGCTAAATAATTATCGAAAAAATTATTTATTTGTTGTAGTATATGTCTGGACAGTGACAACTAGGATTTCTAGATACACATATACAGTGACGGAATCACATATACTTGAGGGGTGTCAGTCAACATTCCTTCATTGGAAAATTATATATATATATCATTTTTATCTCATGGATTGCTACAATCACTTTTATAGATTTTAGGCTTACAGATAAAAAAGCCTTTTCTAAATCATGTATTGATTTGTCCAAGTTGTATAGAGCTATGCTATGCATGTTTCCATGCTTTTTTTCTTACCAAGTGTAAGTGATATTGAATATATTGTTTAGTATAGTAAAAATATATTTCATTTTGACACATCTTAGCTTTTACGCGATTTTATTTCTTTATATTTTGACACATTTTAGTTGAAATTGATCTGGCTCTGCCACTGCACATATACATATTAAAATGCACATATGCTATAAATTTTATAATCTCACTATGTTATATATTTTTTCCAAAAGTATATATGTGAATCGAGATCACTAGCCCGAATATTTTTTCCTATGATTTTCCATCTCTTCGATCTTATGCTTATAAAGTTCATATTTAATTGCTAAACAATTCCATTTCAATCACAACCTTTAACAACAACATATTTTATTCTCAACCTCAACAAACACATATTTTATAATACAAAAACAAGTCATAACAATCAAGCTTTTAACACTTTAACTAGTACATAAATGCTTACTTTACATGGCCATTTGTGCAAAGTTTGGCACTTTATAGAAAAGGAAAAGCAAGACAATTATAGCATCTAACCACCAAATATTCACTTTGCTATGCCGACTATATGAGAAGTATTAAAATTATATTGAAAGTTAAAATAAAGAAGAAAAAATAATATCAATAATATATTCAATGTAATTTTATAAGTGACGGGGTACGAAGAAGGTAATGCTTACACATGTAAATCTTCCCAATCGTACCTTGGGAGGTAGAGCGATCACTATTTCCGATAGACCTTGACTCAAGGCAAAGCAATTCAAAGTTGTTCAAAAAAAGAATAAATAACGGAAGTAAAGAAGCCATGACAAAGCACATTCTGGAAAAGAAACATCAACGAATCTACAACAAAATAATACGATAATTGAAGTAGTAGTAATAAAATAGAAGAACAAAAAACTATAAAAGTAATACTATGACTACTAGCTTAGTATGGAATGATGATAAGCGAGAGATCCTCAACTACTTCCTAACCTTCTACTTTAATCCGTGTCCTCCATGTCTTTCTATTTAAGGTTATATCCTTGATAAACTTAAATTATGTCGTGTCTTGGTTTAATCACTTCTCTGTTCAATACTTCGTCGATCTATCTTTATTTCTTTTAAAACCATATCAGCAAACCTTTCACATGTCCAATTGAACATATGTGCATCTTTTCTTCACGTGCCCAAAGTTAAAAGAACAAAAAAAATTGATTGGAAAATAAGAAAACAACATTAGAAATAGTATGAATACCCCATGCAAAGTTGGCTATAATTGCAATTATTAAAATTACCATAAGCAGGAATCAAATCTTTGCAAATAGTATGATTTATATTATTGAAATGATAGGACCAAAAGGGGAAAAAGTTTCAAAAGAACAACGGTCTCTTTTTACTATTTTTTTTTTACTAGATAGAAGTAAAAAAAAAAATCATATATTTTTTTTCAAAAGTATATGATTTTCTTTTTACGAAGTATTTTAATTTTTACATGAAAATTTGAGCAATATACCTCGATCTCACTGTAATAATTTAAGGAATATTTTACCTTCTTTTCTGTATTATATATGCAAGTTAAATAAAGATGTAGAGTGTTATTATTCCTTCCTTTTTGGTATTAGATAAATTAATATATGTATATTAGTTTTATTATTATTTAATTTTTTTTTTGGTAATATTTTCAAAAGTGATATTTTTATACATATATAGTGAACCATGATAATAACGTAAAATATTATTTTTATTCTAATACACTAATATTCATTTAATAGAACAAATCGAACTATTGATAAAAATAAAATAAAATAATGTCATAACTAATCTCAACATTATTAATATCATATTCATTACTATTGGCATAATACATAAACATATAATTTCACTGTGCCGCAATTAATATTTATGCCTCATCATTTTAACATACATGTCTACTGATTTAATTTATATAAATTTAAGTGTTTATTTATAGACACCGAAAGACATAAATATTAGCCTTTGCACTTATTCGAAAGTGAGGTCACGCTAAGGAAATTGGAATATATCCATTCACATTTCACATGGTTTATATCATTGGCTTGAGAGAAGAAAATATTTAATTTAAATAGACTTGTAAAAAGACCAATCATTCTTTAATGATGTGATGATCTACTTGGTATTTCTAATCATTGATAATTGGAATTACTTTCCTAATAATAATTGAGTATTTTTCTACTTGAAAAGTGGGCTTGAAATTGCAAAACCTATTTTTTAAGCTTCAAATAATAAATTGATAAAAGATATAATTAACACGAGACCAGAGGTTTGAAGAGAAATTTTGGAATTAAAAGGTTTAAAGTTGAGCAGGATTAAAATTAAATATTTGGAGCATAAGTTTAGTGACATATCTTAAAGGAGACGTGTACATGAAGCTTGACTTACAAGTTATTCCTAAGAGATCTAGGACGTTTCAAGTATGAGGTCAGTACTCCAAAGTAACGAAGAGATTGATGAGGATGACACTCATTGTATTGGTGTGAAGTGGATGAAGTAGAGCTAGTATATCCAATGCTCTATGTGACACGAACTAAACTTAAAGATAAATTTTACCAAGTTGTGGTTAGATCAACTATACTATATATACCAGAGCGAAATATTGATCGGTCAAGATTCACGTTCGGAAGATGTAAGTGATAGAGATGAGAATGTTGATTAGATGTGTGGACATATCAGGAGAGACAATATTATGAATGAAGGTATTCTGAATAAGATAGAAATGACTCAAGTAAAAAATAAAATGCACAAAATAAAGCTAAGACGATTGGACATGTAAAGAAGAAAGATTGCAAATGCCACAGTTGGAAGGTATGCGAGGTTGGTCATAGTAGACTTGAGAAAAAGTAAAAATAGACTTAAGAAATATTGAATTGAGGTGATAAGGCATGATATGATGAATCTATTCCTTACCATCAACATGAAAAGTGTAAAAGGTTGATAATTAAAGTAAAATAATAGTTAGTAGTCGAACATATTTCTTTTTTTTTTTCCAGAGTTCAATATCATATTTTTCTTATCCTTAATTTTTAAATTTCTATTCATACATATTATTTTAGTAATATGTTATTATCTTGTTATTTTTATTTATGATTCTTTTCAGACTTCACTTGCAAAAATATATGAGATGATTTGTATAGTAAAAAGTAAAAAAGACAAACAAATTAAAAAGAGTGAAATATTTAGGCCAAATATTTATTTGTATTTTCCAAGCTGGTCTGTCCTGCAGCTTAACCATCTGTGCTCAGTTCTTCTTCCATAACTAAAAATCAGCTCAAAAAGCAACAATCTTTTTCACCATTAATTCTTCCTAAGTTGTTATTGTTGTCATGTACCTAATTTCTCATTTTCTTGTTAAAACTCTTTTCCCATTTTCTTGTTTTTTTCCCTGAAGTAAAAGGAACAAAAAGAATCAAGAAACGAAGTTACTAAGGAAAGCAAGTTCATTTTTTGTCTTTTTTTTTTATAGTTGGTGGCTTGGTGGGTATGACCTAATTTCTGTTTTTGTTTCTTTTTCTGGTGAGAGAGGAAGCTTTACATTTCAAAAATCATCTGTTCATACAAGAAAGGAAACATTTTTTTTAAAGATTTTGTTTTGGGGTTTGTCATACGTTCCCTTTACGTGTAGTTTCTTTATCTTTTAAGGAATTGTGTCTTTTTTGCTTTTGGGGTTGATAATGACTTTCTATGTTACCATATAGAAATTATATGAAATGGGGTTTAGCTAAAATTGAGCCTTTATGGTTTTAATTTTCTAAAATTTGTATTTTTTGTATAGTTTTAGTATATGTTTGCAATTGTTAGTTTCCGCATTATGCCTTGCTATTTTGATCCAAACAAAGGGTAGCTGCTTTCTTGGTTCATATCATTGGCCCCCTTTTGTTTCTGTTGATTGAAAAGACAGGATAAAAGTACTGTTGGCTTTATATTAGCTTTTCTTGAAGGAACCTAATTGAATTTGTGCTGTAAAAGGGTAAACTTTTCTTGAACTTTTTTTATTTATGTTACTTTTGTGAATGAGAAATATAGAGGGATAATCATCATTTGTGATTTATCATCAGCAGATATGATGCTGGCTTTTGCAAGTCCTTCCTGCTGCAGTGTCCATACAAGTTCAACTTGCCATACTTTACTTAGAGAACTAGAGGTACTTCATTTTTTTTTGTCTTGATTTTGTTTGCTTTGAGGGAAGCTTCCTTTTGTTTTATTCTTGTTGTTTCATTGGGGAAATTGGGTATTTAATTATTGAGGGAATGTTCTGTTTACTGAAGGAACCTTATTAATAATTCTTGATACTCCAAATTTTCATAAATTTATGTGTTTTGAGGTTGAGTGGATGTTGCTACTCGACTGAAGAGCGGGATTTTGCTATTCTGGCTGAGTAGCAATGGCGGAGGCAGGATTTTTACCAAGGGAGTTTAGAATATAAAGAGTTGAGGACACGAAGAAACCAAGGGTTCCAACATCTAGTATATATACATAAAAAATAATCTTGACCTTATATATATAGCATACCTTGGCTCTGCCCCTGTTGAGGAGTGGGACTTGCCGACCCCAACTTGTTTGGGACTGATACTTCGTTATTGTTGTTGTTCTTGTGGGCTAAAGAGCTGGTCTTGAACATAAGTAGTCACCTTTTGCTTTGAGTGGTCTGTTAATAGTTTAGAAGTTGGAACTTGGCATTAGTGTTCTTGCTATCATGGTAGATCAATCGAGTTGGAATAGTTCCCCTTTCCTCTATTTTACGTAAGTTGAACTCATTTAGTAGTCTGTATGTTGTAAAATGATGTATCAGAAGAGTTCTGATAGGAATGATTAATGTTTTCATTGGCTTTGAATTCTCGTGTACCTTATTATTGATTAAGTTTTGGATTCGGGATTGAGGTATAGTTGATTGATGGTTTGTTTGTAGTTAGAAGTAAGAATCTTCAATTCCTAATTTCAAATTTCTGAAACTGTAAGTTTCGTAAGCCAAAATGGATTAGTAGTTTTCTTTCCCTGTATATGCGAGAATACGAACTCAGTCAACCAAGTTAGAACTATGAATGTGTAAGTTTTATTTAACTGTATTTATCTGATGTCCAGCAAATATGGAAGGACATTGGAGAGACTGAAGCTGATAAAGACCATATGCTGTCGGAGCTGGAGAGAGAGTGTTTGGAAGTTTATCGAAGAAAAGTTGAAGAAGCTGCAAATACAAAAGCATGTCTTCATCAATCTGTTGCAACCAAAGAAGCCGAGGTTGCAACATTAATGGCTGCTCTTGGTGAACTCAATGTTAATTCACTGGTAATGAACTCTTCTCCAGTTCTCTTGGTGTTGGAAGAGTTATAGAAAATATTACCCTTACATTTTTTCAGTTCCTTTAATCTACTAGTACTGCTTTCTCTTTAAGATAACGGGATTTGCTAAAAGTCATGAATAGGTTGAGGATTTCTCTGGTTATATATGAACTTTTACAAAAGTTAGTTCTTTTCAAAATAACCGAAATCTCCTAGAACCAATCCAATAGGACACGGTTCAAACCTCGGTGGATAATGGCCTCCTCTCTCTACCCTTCTCCACTTAAATACCAGAATTTGGTCTTCGTAAGGTGCAAACCCGTGATGTACGCCTGACCCACACATCATGTGTTGCGCTCTTATGACTAAACCAAAGCCCTGTGGGCAACTTTCACAAATGTTAGCTTACAGGCTGTTTCTTTATGTCTCATATTTGGCATCATTTTAGCTTTATAAGGTTGTCTGGGAAATTTTAGATGACTTCTACTTCAATGTCACTGCACCATGAGATATGGATAAGTCCATTTCAATACTTTAAAAGTCAAACAAACATCATGTGTATGCTAATGCTTCTAAACCATGCTTTCTCAACAACAGAAACAGCCAGAGAAGAAGTCAGCATCATTGAAGGAGCAACTAGCATTAGTTACACCACTTATCGATGATTTAAGAGTTAAGAAAGATGAAAGAGTTAAGCAGTTTGCAGATGTAAAGACACAAATCGACAAGATAACTAGTGAGATTTCCGGGTATTCTAATATCATCAATGCCGTGAGTTCCTTAAATCTGGAAGATCATGACTTGTCACTGAGAAACCTCTCCGAATACAAATCTCATCTTCGTGCTCTTCAAAAGGAGAAGGTATTCATGGATTGACTTGCATTTTAACACGGAACAAAATGTTTGTGGTTAACCATCATGAGTGTTGTACTTTTGGTTAATGTTGAGTATGCTTATTTTAGCAAATTAACCAATAAATATCTTTCCCGCCTGCAGTCTGAACGGATCCAAAAAGTTGTGGACTGTGTAAATGAGGTGCACTCTTTGTGTGGTGTGCTGGGGCTGGATTTTGGCAAAACTGTGAGTGATGTGCATCCAAGCTTGCATGAAACAAGCCTGGGACAATCCACTAACATTAGCGTCAGCGCATTGGAAAGTCTTGAACAGGCCATCTTCAGACTGAAGACAGAAAGAAAAGTTCGATATCAGAAGGTATTGCTTACTTCTGTCTTCTCTTAGATTTTTCTTCTTTTCCAATTTTGATCTCATCATTGATGCAGCTAAAAGATGTTGCTGGATTGTTGTTTGAGCTTTGGACCTTAATGGATACAACCAGAGAAGAAAAGAGTAAGTTATCGAGGATCACTTGCGTTCTTCGTCTTTCTGAGGCAGAGGTTACAGAACCAGGTGCTCTTTCTTTGGAGGTTATTCAACAGGTTTGTGAGCATTTACAATCTTTTCAAACTTATTGCCTTTCTGTCTTGTTCCCACTACTTCTCCTTTTTATTTCCCTTGGCCAGCTCATACAACAACAACAACATACTCAGTGTAATCCCCACAAGAGGGTGATATTACGCAGCCTTACCCCTACCTTGTGAAGGTAGAGAAGTTGTTACCGATAAACCCTCGGCTCAAGTGAAGAGCACAGAAAAAAATGGAGAAAGAACAGTAGCAATCACTAATAGTACGATAAACGAAGCGAAGAAAAGAACAAGTAATAGTAAAATGTTGCATATAGGCAGTTCACCTCATAATAGGATTCTAATGAAACTAGTGCAGCATAGAGTCAAATGTACTAGTGCATTGGACTGATTTCCCGCAATTGCAACCACTGATCTGTCACTAATGATAATTTCTCAGGCTGTAGAGAAGTTTAATTTTGTCTATGACTTTGATTTTGATAGATATCGACAGAAGTGGAGAGGCTGACCAAATTGAAAGCAAGCAGGATGAAGGAGTTGGTCATAAAAAGGAGAGCAGAGCTGGAGGACATATGCTACAAAAACCATATCGATCCTGATCCAAGTACTTCAGCCGATAAATCTAGTGCAATGATAGACTCTGGTAAGACATCAAATCTCGGATACATAAAGTTGTATTCCTCTAAGATGTCGCACAGAAATGAATTCAATCTTCATTTGAAGGTCTTGTGGACCCTTGTGAACTCCTGGAAAATATTGAAGCACAAATAAGCAAAGCAAAGGATGAAGTTTTAAGTCGAAAAGATATAATGGATAAAATAGACTGGTGGCTTTTTGCTTGTGAGGAGGAAAACTGGCTTGAAGATTATAACCAGGTATAAATCAATTGATTTCCTGTAGGCCAGTGACATAGCTAAATCGCAGATCTCCGTTTACTATTATTTAATCCAGTTACTCTAGTTTTACTTTTGATGTGTGTTAATTATAGATTTAAATTCCTTGTCAAATGGAGTACAATAGTTGTAGATTTACTTTGTCCAAAGTTTGAGTAATGCTTTTTCTGTAATCAGGATTATAGACGTTACAGTGGTGGAAGAGGTGCTCACATAAACTTAAAGCGGGCTGAGCAAGCTAGAATTAAAGTGACTAAAATTCCAGGTAATCTACTCTGACTTCCTTGTTTTCATTTATCTTGGATATTCCGATAAAAACTGAAATCGACTGCATTTCTTTTCAGTCGTGGTTAACGCTTTGATTAACAAGACACTAGCTTGGGAAGATGAGAAACAGAAGTTGTTTCTTTATGATGGGGTGAGTTCTCCTGCTGCTAGAGTTCTCTAGATCTCTTCTTTTGGTTGCGCTGTTTTTAAAATGAATTGGTCTCTACTTGTAGGTGAGATTGGTGTCAATATTGGAGGATTACAAAGTGGTTAGACAGCAGAAAGAAGAGTCAAAGAAACGTGCTCGGGTAATGTCAAATATTCTCATCTATCAATTAATATTAATGTATGAAACACACATAAAATTTAGGAGAATGCATGATGTAGATGTCACTTGAACATAATTTATCATTGTAATCTACACCTTTTTATGTGTCTTGAACAAGTCCAAAGATGAGGAAAGAGCATCCAATTCCTTTGGTTTTGACAGCAGCAATGTTCGACCCTCGTAAAATCTTTTTGTACAGGATCAGAAGAAACTCCATGATATGCTGCTGGCAGAGAAGGAATCTGCATATGGTTCCAAACCTAGCCCGAGAAGAAGCAGCAGCTTTAGGAAGGCAAATGGTTACCATGCCAATGGACATGGATCTGTTACACCCTCGCCACGCAGGAGCTCAATGTCTTGTGCAACTCCAGAGCTCTTAACACCCCGTTCCAACTCTGTGCGGCACAATGGTTATTTCAAGGAAATGACAAGGCTCTCTACCGGCCCTCTCAACTTTGTGGCTATGGCTAAAGAAGATACCGTGTCATTCTCTTCTATTTCCGGTTCTGATCCAGAATCTCCACTTCAAGCTTGAACTCACAAATTGAGTTGGTATGTCTGTCTCATCAATTTTCTATCAAATTATAGAGTTCAGTGTCATTTCAATTCTGGACTTTTCAAGAATCTCTTTCTTGAAAATAATTTTTTTCGCTACCCTCTCGTGATATTTTTTTAGAACTCATGAATAAGTGTTTCAGTTCTTACTTGTGGTGTGAAAGCCATCTAATCATTCGTTTATTGTCCTCCTATTATACTTTATATTGCTCTGCCTATTACTTTAAAGTGCATCTGATGAATTGCTTCAACGTCGAATACTATTGTTTCAACTTACTCAAGTGTCATGTTTCAGCATAATATCTCTTTCACTTATTGTATAATTGTCTTTACAGGTTGATGATTGTTTCATCCGTAGCACAACTGTTTCCCAGGTCACATTCAGAGAGAATACCACCTACAAAATGCTTGTGAATACTGAAGGAAATGTACATTAATGTAATGCTGTGATGTGTTAGGCAATTCTGGAGCAACGAGTAGAGCTTTTCGAGGACCTCCTTGTGCATGTTGATGGTTGGAGATAACAGGTCCCGGAAAATTGCTGACCACTGTGTATTTGTAAGATATTTCTTGTTTTATCGTTTACCTGTACATACATTTGCAATAGAATTTTCACCATACTTTCTTTGGATTGTATAATGTATAGTCTTTCCGGAAGCTAGATCCTAAGATGAGTTTGTTTCATGTATTGCTCACATTACTCTCTTCATGTTTGTTTGCGCGAAAAAAATAAATAATTTTTGTAGCACCTTACCATCCATGGCTAGTTGAAGCTTTTTTCTTTGGAGTCAAATATTCTTGTAACATAATGTGAGTACCACCAAAGCTTAGAGTTTTATGTTGATGGTGGGAGTCTTTTACACAATACATGTGCAATCCATTCTCACTGATTTCCTTCCCTTTTTCCCTTGCCTAATCTTCCAATGTATATAAAATAATGAGCAGTCTTGCGTACGAAGTATTTCATGTTCATACAGTGTTTGGGGAAGGGCCGCACTCAAGGAGGTATAGTGTTGCCAACTACCCTAACACAAGTATCAATAATTGATTTCATAGCTCGAATATGTGACATTTTAGGTTACACAGAGGCAAATTTTACTATTGCCCTGAAGCTCTCATTCAATATCTCTCTCAATTTCTATGGATCAACCTAATGTTAGATTATATTTTCATGGCATGAACCAATTTCTTTGCTTCGATTCCACATCACATTTAAACCATGGGCATAGGAGAGGATGTTGTTTGGATCTAATGGTACTATGTGACACCTTTAGAGTGACAACCTTATCTTAGAAGAATTTTCCATTTTTGAATTCACATACATGTGAATGACCTTATTTTATGTAAAAACTATAGTCTATAGGGTCATGTGGATCCCCCATATTAAATATTTGGTCTTACCTATGGACTTACAAGTTAGAAATAGACAAATTAGCCAGGCTGTGGATTTTCATTTTTCTGGCCAGCTCAACACACTCAATATCATTAGAAAGTGATTTTCTTTTAAATTAATTGTAAGTCTTATTACATGTAATTTTCAGCAATTTAAATAGAGAATAAAATGCGATGATTAATTACTATTTGAAGAAAATAACACCACAATATATTTGTCATGAACAAGAATTCAGTGCAATTTATATAATCGGCCTCAATTTGTTTTTCTTGAGGTACCATGTATCAAGATCACTTACATAAGTGTATTTAATTAAACAAAGGGCATAGTAATATTATCCCATAGACAATTACATCCATATTTAGCTAAATTATCCATCACTTGAGCTAGAGGGGCAGAAGGGTAAGAAAGTTACACTATATATACAATGCCATTTTTTAAATGTATATATAACATATGTACTCAAACTTTCTTGATGAAAATTCTGCTTCCACCATTGCACGGTGCAAACTTGATTCATGACAAGGTATCATTGGCTAATTCTTCTTTTGGTGGAAAAGACAATGCCTAAATTACTCTCTATTGCAAACATGTATAACAATTCCTTTGATTATTGTGATACAAATATGTATTAAAAAAATCATCTGGTACACTAAAGCTCCCACCCGTTATGCATAAGGTTCAGAGAAAGACCAGACCACAAGTGATACAATATATGTATATATGTAAATAGTGTTCCTTTTTTTCTCTCTTTTTGCTATTATTGTGTCACCAATATAACATTTGAAAGTTATCACATGTAGCCACTATTTTCAGATATAGCCATTGTTTTCACATATAACCACTATTTTCACATATAGCCATTTGTTTTCACATATAACCATTGTTTTCACATATAGCCATTGTTTTCACATATAACCATTGTTTTCACATATAACCACTATTTGACATATGGCCACTTGCTATCAGAAGCTAATTAGATCTGGTAACTCTGGAGTTTTTTTACTAGGTACATTATATGTACATATTTCAAAAGGATTAATTGCATATGGTGCAATTTTCACTCCATCATTTTGCATCAAATCTTCATCAAATTTCTCCCAATTATCAGTAATTACTGTCCTCAACTTGCTCTCATTTTCAAGATTCTGATCACCATTTTTTTCGCGTACAACAACTATACCTTTACCATCCTGTTGATATGGAATAATTCGCGATTCTTTTTCAGAAACTCCATTGATTATTTCTTCGAGTTCCTTAATATCTTCATAAGGAATTTGCTCAATTGTTGGAAACTCTGCTGCATTTTTCACCCCTATACTTTGACATAACTCGAAATATACTGACAATTCTTCACCTTGTATTGTAGCTTTTTGTACAATCCTAAGTGCCATGCTAGCTTCAACTTTTCCAGCAGAATAAATCCGCAACAGAATTCTAGCAATTCCATTGCAAATTCTGCTGTATACGTCGAAAACTTCAATCATGACACAATCCATAGCTTCAAGAACAAGAGGTACAACAGCATTACCACATAATGGCCTAATTTCAAGCAACATATCAAGTAAATATTGCAATTTTTGTAGTAGAACAAGATCTTGAATCATGGAATAATGTCCTTCAACGAAAACAACAACATTATTATTATCATCATTGACGTGTTCCAAATTTTGTAAGTTCCTCCTTTCTTGCAAATTCATGAAAAGAAGGGAGGATTTTTGATCAAGATAGGTGAAATAAGCGCGAATAAATTCATTTATTCCCCATATCTTATAAGGATCTGAATATCCATCTTTGAAATTTGATAAATCGAATGGTAGCCTCCCAATCCTTTGTATAGCTGGGATTTTAGAACTATAGACACCATGCATGAGCATTAATCCTTTAATTGCAACAACCCAGCTCTTTGTTTTTTCCATACGTAAAGAAATGGACCAAATGAGAGATTTTAAGTGGCTAGGAGATAATCGTAGCCACTTATAAACGCGATCAACATTTTTCATGTCGATTGTTAATTCATCATGACTCGTAGCTTTAATCACAGCAGCTTCCATTTCTGGATTTCGAAATGATGTTCGTCTTGAGAGGCTAGCAAACCAGAGGCTTTTATGATCTTTTACTAAACCAAAAGCTTTTCTCCATAGCCTCATTGTTTGTAAATTTTAAATTCGGTGTTTTTTTTTTGGTTTTTTTAGGTATGTGATTTTCCCCTACTTTTTTCTCTTTCTTGATATTCAAGTAAAAAAATTGGCATTTGCTTAAGGAATTAGGAACAAAAAAGAAGAACAAATGACCAGAGAAAGAGTTAGGTGGTAGGGGAAACACACATGACACAAGTTATGAAAAAAGTATATAAAATAAAGGAAACCACATTTTGTGAGGTTTGTTAGAATTTTACTAATTTTGTGTAGTTCTTGTATATTGGAACATTTTATTTTTTTTGTGTGTGTATGGTTTTCGTAAATAAATCAACTATTTATCAAGAAAAAAAAAAGGGAACTCTTAAGTAATTGTTTTAAAACAAAATAAACATGTGTGTGTTCGTGATAAGAGGGGGTTGGCATGGTAAAATATTCATTTGTTTGTGTTAAGATTAAGATATCTAAATTCGAATGGATATATATATTATAAGATGCTGTTTCGAGATATGAATGCTGAATGATTAAGACTGTTTGTTTTTCAACATTAGAATGTGTATCATTTATTTATTTTTATACGTAATAAATGCACAATTGAAATCATTGGATCATTCATTTATTGTCCTCTTTGTTTTGTTAGTAGTTGATGGTGGTGTGCGGAGAATGTGTGGTGATTGATAATGGTGTTGGTGATAGTCGATAGCGATGCTTGTTGTGATGGTGAAAGTGGTTCATAGTAGGGACTATGGTGGCGGAGGTAGCATCGACAATGACAATAGTAGTGGTGGCAATAGATATAATTATGATGATGGAGGTGGTAACGACTAATAGTAATGGTTGACAATTGTGTTGGTTCAATCCTCCTAGAGAACACTTTCTATGGTGTTGTAAAGGAGCTACAATTTACATCACCAAGTGGTCCAAGAAAATGACATGTTGATGTGCCATATGAGACCAAACACACTTCATCTATCCACATTATTGAGGAATTTATTGATTCTAACTACTTTTTTCCTAGCTTTAAAATAAAAATCGTATAATGTATTATTGTACTTTGCATCCCACATTTTTTTTGTTAAGAGGTGTATCCAGGATTTATAGTTTATGAATTTCTACAATGATCTCAAATTAATATGCAATAATAACTGAGTTCACAATCAAATCTATATAAATATTTGACATCGGCTACCACTGAGGAGAGTTGTGGACTTATGGATGACATCCTTCGCCTTTAATTAGGAGTTTTGAATTTCGATCAATGAAAATGAAAAACCTTTTGATAAGGAGCGTTTTACCCTCAGTGTGCCTTGTTGTATACTACTGAGAAACATTGTGAATGGAATGGAAGAAATCCTTCACCTTTTAAGTACAAGTCTTGTATTCGAGCTCTAAGAATTGAAAAACTTTTAGGACATCCTTAGTGGGCCTTGGGCCGAACCTAATTAGTCGAGCCAGTGAACTTCATATAGTAAATGGTTAAACCAAAAATTGGATGAAAAGTTTGATAAGTACAACAAAGTTAGAAATGATGTCCATTATCTGAACTTGATTCATTCTAACACCATATACTTTTTTTTTTTGTGGTTGTAGATGCATATTATTATCTATTTAGTTTACACACACTTCGACTAATTCATAGGATACGTATCACCTCTCACCAACAACTAAATCTTGATTTGTGGAAAAAAAAAAACCAAAGTGATGATCACTAGTCTACAATATTTGCTTGTTCTTCATTTTTCTTACTTAGGACTTTGCTTATCAATATGTAACATTAATAGCACTCAATATCTAAAAGATCCAGCAACTTTATGGTGTCCTGATAACATGTTCAAGTTGGGATTTTTCAGTCCTGGAAATACTACGAATCGTTACGTTGGTATTTGGTACAACTTCTCAGAAACAACTGTTGTTTGGGTAGCAAATAGAGATAAACCATTGAAAGATTCATTTGGTGTTTTCAAGATTTCTGAGGATGGAAATCTTGTTGTGATGAATGGAATGAAAGATGTTATTTGGACATCGAACATTTCATCTACTTCACACGTTGTTACGAGTTCTATTGCTCAGTTACGAGGAGGGAACCTTGTTTTACTTGACAACTCGAAAAATAGGAACATTATATGGCAAAGTTACCAACATCCTAGTGATACATTTTTGCCTAAAATGAAAATACCTATTAACTCTGTTAAAGCAGGGGAGAAAACAGGGCTAAGATCTTGGAAAAGTCCTTTGGATCCAAGTTTTGGTGATTTTTCGACTAGCATTACCGCGATTCTTCCTCAGCTTTTGATTTGGAAAGGGAAGAATCTATACTGGCGAAGTGGTCAATGGAATGGTCAGGTTTTTATTGGAATAAAGGGTATGCGTAGAGTGCACACTGGTGGATACAATGTTGTTGATGATGAAGAGGGCACTGTCTATCTTACGGGTTTTGTTGAACAAAAAGAACCTAAAAGGTTCGTCTTGGACTCGAGTGGGAACTTGGTACAATCATACTGGGATGGGATTGAGAGGATTTGGAAGTTTCCGTGGTCAGCTATCGAAAATGATTGTGATGTTTATGGAACTTGTGGTCCATTTGGGAGCTGCAATTCATTGTATTCGCCAATTTGTTCGTGTTTAAGAGGGTTTGAGCCAAAGAATATCGACGAATGGGAAAAGGGGAATTGGACTAGTGGTTGTGTGAGGAGGAAAAGTTTGCAATGTGATCAAGAGAAGAACAAAACAAGTACAAAAGATGGATTTTTGAAGATGGGATACATGAAAGTGCCCGATTTCGCTGAATGGTTACCTCCTAAGCTTGAAGATGAATGCAGAAGCCAATGCTTGAGTAATTGTTCTTGCTTAGCTTATGCTTTTGACACAGGAATAGGCTGCATGTCGTGGAGCGGATACTTGATTGACATTCAACAGTTTCAAGCCTCTGGCACGACACTTCACATCCGTGTGGCACATTCTGAACTCGGTATTGATTCATTGTTTCTTGATTTGCCACTGTTCCATTAATGTTTCCAGTAGTCTTACATGATTTGGTTTCGTCTGCAGATCATCACGGAGAGATTAGACTAATCGCAACTCTAGTGATTGTATCGTCTTTTGTTGTTTGCGTTGGTGTGTATCTTATATGGTTTTGGATGTCAAGGCAAAGAGGTAAAATATGGTTTCACTTTAAAAGGAACAATCAGTTAGATGGAAAGAAGATCTGTTTGGGAGAAATTATTAGTAATGTTGGTTTGGATGAGTTGCCAATTTTCAAGTTTGAAGTGCTTGCAATGTCAACAAACCAGTTTCATGACAACAATAAGCTTGGACAAGGCGGTTTTGGTCCGGTATACAAGGTAAACCTGTTTTTTTCTTCGCGTGAACCAATATGTTCCAACTCCGGTTCTTGTAAATGCAACTGTCAAGTAGTATCGTTTACCTGTTTATTGTTCGTAGGGAGTATTAGCAGACGGGGTGGAAATAGCTGTCAAGAGGCTTTCGACTGTCTCAGGACAAGGGATGGAAGAGTTCATGAATGAAGTGTTGTTGATATCTAGAGTCCAACATAGAAACCTTGTTAGATTATTGGGATGTTGCATAGAAAAAGAAGAGAAGATGTTGATCTATGAGTATTTGCCAAATAAAAGCTTGGATGTTTTTCTCTTTGGTTAGTCCTAAAAGAAACTCTTACTCTGCGATATATAGTCAGACCTCTTTATAACAGTCATTTACTATAATAACATTTCACTATAACAGCCAAGTTTCCTTTGGAACAGATTTTAATGTGATGTTCTTTATAATAACATCCAGACAAACGACGTTGTTACAAAGAGGTCTGACTGTATGTTCATTATAGCTTTCCTCTTTTATCTCATGCAAAAACTAAGTTGTTACAGAAAGAAACTGTCTTTCGATGAATGTTTAGATCAAACGCATAAAGGGATGTTGGATTTGAGCAAACGATTGCACATTATCGAATGGATAGGGCGAGGACTACTATATCTACATAGAGATTCAAGAATAAAGATAATCCATAGAGATCTAAAGCCAAGTAATATCTTGTTAGATAATGATTTCAATCCAAAGATTTCAGACTTTGGCATGGCTAGGATTTTCAAATGCAATCAAGATCAAGCAGAGACAAGGAAAGTTGCAGGAACATAGTAAGTATATGTATAGCCATTCAATATGCTAAGTTTTTTTCTTGTCTAAAAGTTCCCACATTAAGCTAATTCGTTGATTTATCGTTGAATTTGCAATGTCTTAGTGGCTATATGGCTCCAGAGTACGCGATCAAAGGGACGTTTTCTGAGAAATCGGATGTTTTTAGCTTTGGAGTGTTGTTGTTGGAAATAATGAGTGGGCAAAAGGTTGCAAGTTTTTGGAATGAGGAGATCTCATTAAGCCTTCTTGGATATGTAAGTTCCTTTAAAACTCTCTTGTACTTAATTGTGAGAAGCAAGAATATTTTGATAAAGAAGTTAATTAGAATCTAACTTTAGAACTTGATATTGAGTGTTATAGCCTTGTGAAATAAGGACATTTTGATAGATCGAATTGAATGTTATTAACGCTCAAAACTTTAGTACAACCTTTTCTGATCCCGTTGAAGGGAAGACCCCATATTATACCAACATCTCTTTAGTTTCTTCGATCATCTAGAGGTGTATATTTCCATTCAGCTTGGATCCGGTATCATTAAGCTTCAAATCTTGAGTGCGTCTCGTTGTTAATTATTGAATAAATCTAAATACCACTAAAACAATTTATTTATTTTTCAGGCATGGGAACTATGGAAAGAGAATGATTTATCAAATTTTATTGATCAAGTGATATGGGATCCCAACTTTGAAATTGTGTTAACAAAATGCATACAAATAGGTTTGTTGTGTGTTCAAGAATTTGCTAGAGATAGGCCAACAGTTTCAAATGTTCTTTCCATGTTTTCAAGTGAAGTTATAAGTCTTCCAACACCATTGAAGCCTGCTTTTGCTAATTTTTATGATGATAATGGAGCTGGTTCTGTAAATTATGTCACTTTGACAAACCTTGATGCTAGATAATTAATATGAAATATTGTGAATAGTACCTAGATAAACATCTAGTTTACCAATTTCATTTTTGCATCTAAATGTTTTTGTTTAAACAAGTGAAAATACATGATCGGAATCAGTCTTTCTACCTCAGAAATATATAGTACGGATATGGTCCGCTTACATTCTACTCTCCCCTCTCCCCACATTCACTTATGGGATTATGATGAATAAAGGCAAGTGGGTCCCCCTCCCCCAAATTTACCATTTTTGTTTGAAATTCAGTCACGTATACATGAACTTCAACGATATAAAATTTCAAACATTATATCTTAAGTTCGACTTTATCAAGACTTACTTCAGATGCCACAAATATCTGAAGTTGTTTCGAAGTGATACGTATGCAAATTTTTTTTTTTTTCATTTTATACAAAGTAAAATAGTAAAGACCCTGCTCTAATACAAAGTAAAATAGTAAAGAGTTTTAAGTTTTATGTCATATCTACACAATTAAAATTAGGTTATATGTAAGACAATATAATTACAGAGAACTCCCTATAATAAATATTTATATTTTCGTCAAAACATCACCAATCAACAAACATCATGTATTCACTATCAGAAAATCGCTAATTTTCAAAAGACGTTCTGTCAAAATTTGACTCATCGATAAGGGGATTTTCGATAGAAAAGTCATCGGAAATGTTACCGATGACTCAATTTCCGAGGGAATATTTTGTAAATTTTCATCGAAAATTAGCGATTCTGTAATAGTGATGATATAATCAATTAAATATATCTTACATATACAACTCAATAATTTTATGGCATAGTAATGGCATCTTTTATTGCACTGAAACCTGTGGTATCTTGTCTTGTTAGCATCCAAGAGACACAAACAAAATAGAGACATTATGCCATAAGTCTTTCTCAACAAATATATTCTGCAAGAAACTCTTCCACAATAGCATGGGATGTTTCATGTTTGAAGATTATTATTTGTCTTTTTATAGTTGTCTTTTTCTCCTTTTTCATCTAAGATTTTATTCTAACTTTTATTTTCTAGGAAAAAGAGATAATATATATAGAGTTATAGAATTACATAACTATGTGTCATGTGTATATTAGATGGTCTAAAGCTAGTTACCACCCTTTTGTCCCTATATTGTACCCTCACAACATTTTTCATTCTAGCTGAGATAGAGTCAGAATTTTTAGTTTATAAGATTCATATCATAATCGTTTTGTTAACTAGGTTATAAAGAGATTATTTATACATGTAGGATAAATTTTTAGTAAGAATATAAGGCTTGAAGATTATTATTTGTTTGTTTATTGTTGTCTTTTTCTCCTTTTGATGTAAGATTTTATATCAACTTTTATTTTCTTATAAAAAAGAGATAATATTGAGTTGTAGAATTACAAAACTGTGTATATTGTATTATTGTATGGTTCAAAATTAGTAACCACCCTTTTGTCCCTATGATGTACCCTTACAACATTTCTTTTCATCATGAAACAAGATAATCTATCAGTATAAAATATAAATTATATAGAAAATTAAATAAAAATAATATGTGTGACTCTTCATATATCACCAAATATTTGTTAATTAATAGTATGCTTCTATAACTTTGTAATTTTAAAAGCCTTATAACCACAATAAATGGGTTGTAATAACATGTTTAAAAACTAAATCATAAATTATACATTTTTTCAGAAAAAAAAACTTTATTAAGCTCCATGTCAAGACGAATTACATCAAATAAAATGGAATAGAGCGAATATACTTCTGATGTTTTGTCTCGTACGACAATAATAACTATGTCTTAATCCCAAACAATTAGTTGGTCGGCTCCCCACCCCCCCTCCTCTAAGCTCTATGTCAAGTCGAATTACATTACATAAACTGAAATGAAACGAATATAGTTTTGATGCTTTTGTCTTGTACATCAGTAATATCTACGTCTGAATCCTGAACAAGTTAGGTCGACTTCCCCCCTTCCCACCCGGGCCCGGCCATTTGTCTCTTAGTAGGAGGGAGAAAACACTTGAGAAACCTCCATTTTTTGAATAAAAAGAGGGAAAAGATTGACAAGATATGAAGGTACAAAATACAATTAAGAAGATGGAAAATTGACAAGGAAAGGACTTGGATTGTCTCATTAAAGTTTGTGATCCAAAATTGTGATTGTACCATACAATATGCCTCTGTTGCTACAGAGACAAACATACCATACCCATAGTTAAAAGTCATACTCAAGTTTTCTATTATTCAATACTTACTTTTATTAGATTTTTCTTTACATTTATGGCTAAAAGATCACCTTTTTTTCATTGAGTACTCTAAGGGATCGTTTGGTAGAAAGTATTAGGAGAAATAGTCCATGTATTATGTATGGTATTATATAGTACTATGTTTGATAAGAATTTGGGCCTATGTATAACTAATCCATGGATTAGTTATACACCCTACATGGTATTAGATGATGTATTACTAATACCTTCTATTTGGAGGTATTAGTAATACATATGATTTAATATCATGGGATAAGTCTATGTAAAGACAAAAATATCCCTCAAATCATTTAAATCATTTTGTTTATTTTCTTGATTTTATGTTTTATATTTGTATTAGTAAATTAATTTAAATAAATTAGCATATAAATTATTAGAGAGAGTTGTTTGTTACTAAATAAATTCAATACAATTTTTGAAATGTGAATTTAACATTTACTAATTAAAAAGGTAAATATATCACCACATGATGTTTCTTAATTGAATGTATAATATATATGTGTGTGTGGTTTTCTAATTACTTGTATTTTGAACAATTTATAAAATTGCATATATATTAAAACTATAACTTGCAATTTTTATGTGTAAATGTAGATGGTTTACTCAATTTTACTAAGTATTGTTTACCGTCTTATCAGTTTTAAAAGTAGATGATTTATCTTTTTAAAATTGAAAAATGTCATTTTGTGAGTGCTAAATTTATTAAAATGACAATTATTTATCCTCAAATAATTCAAGTGAAAAAATAGCAATCATGACAACAAAATTGTTCTTCACCTAGCTAGTTAGAAGGTCATTAAAAAAATAACATTGTCCGGCAATTATCTACCTTGACCCAATTATATAATAATACAAGGGTATAATTGGAAAGAAGCTTTTTATAGAGTTTTAATCTAAACACAAGATGAAGTAGGAAACAATGAACCAAACACTTGATAAAAATAAATCATGCATTACTAATCCCTGCACTATTAATCTCTGCATTACTAATCTCTGTGTTATTAATCTTTGTATCAAACGACCCCTAAGTATCTTGATGAAATTTAGTGACAAATTTAAGAAATTGACACGTATTAAGCCTTTTGCATATGCTCATTAAGATACAACCAACTTATAATCGACTCTACGTTCGACATGTTATGCAAGAATGTAATGTTGTTATTTTAGTGCATCCTATATATACGACTTAAAAGAGATGAATTAGATCGTATCTTATGAGGATAGAAAAGACTTTTTTCCATAGATTAGTTTCTTAATTTGAAAGTAATGTAAATTAAAGTTTGTCAGGCTAGCAGGCCAAAGGAATCTATAACAGGAAAAAATATATATAGCTTTATTTTTGTTATTTTGTTATATTTTTCATTACCCCTAATGATTTTTGTCTCCATTATTTCTCTCAATGTATTATTGTTATTTCTTTGTTTTTTTGTTTGTTTCGTGTTTCATTTTTTTGCATGTAAATAGAATTCAAATACAAACCATAAAATTCTGAAATTTACAACAAATGCATTTCTATATTTGAGAATATTACCAAAGTGTTTCAAAAGCGCGACTATTTTAACGTATGATCTGTTATATTACATATTTTGTATAATTATTTTTTACTATAGCAATTAATAAATACTCATACAACTATCATTGTTATAGATATATATGACTTTATCGAATGTTAACTTTTTTGTTCATTTTTTTCTGAAATTGAAACTCCAAAAAGGAGCAAATTATTCCTTTTTTAAAAGATGCAATATATATGTATAATAGACAAAACTTTGTTAACAAAGCTGCTTAATCGTGCATTTTCCACCATCTTTCATAAAAGCTGTTACAAAAACTTTTAATCATGTTTACTTTGGTCAATGGAAATTTTATTTTATTTTTTTTATAAAAAAACCACTTTCAACTTTTCACTTTTTGTTTTTATAAAAAAAAGTTGAAAAGGAAAATAAAGGTCACGTGTAACTTCATATCCTAAGTTACTCTTTATAAAAGTTCGTTCATGCAAATTACACATCGTGTGTCATGAAATAATCACTCATTATGTTTGATCATAAAATTCTGAAATTCTAATTTTTTTTAAGAATTTAAAAAATAACAATAATATTATGTGTTTACTTTTTCATTCTAAGTTACTCATAAAAAATCAAAAACAATTTCAATTTATATTTAAGATCAAATACCATTCTAATTTTCTCATAATATTTTTCACTTTAAAAATATTTTTTTTTTAAAAAAATTCATAATAAAACATAATCAAATGTCCACTTCGTAAAAGTTCGAAAGCAAAAATAAAATAAAAATAACAACACATTTGTTCATGCAAATTACATTGTGTGTCATGAAATAATGACTCTTTAATTTGTTTTCTTGTGTGAAAGATGTTCTTTTGTTTCTCTCGTCTTATTGCTTCTCTCTCTTTACATGTGTGGGCTCAAAGTAATTATTGGCTTCACTCAAGATTAAAGAATTTCTAGAAATATTTTTTTTATTTAAAAAAATAATATCCATAAATTTAAAATTCTAAATCCACTTATATTATTAATGTAAGGAATTTTATATCATCGATTCTATTAACTTTACTTATTATATTAAATAAATTGTCTTAGTTTCAAGATTACAAATTCATATTAAAAGGAAATTTACTTTCCCGCAAATATTCGTATAAATGATATGATTATATGAAAATTCATTACAACTACAATAATATTAGTCATTTCATTAAAGATTATTGTTTTTTTCAGGCTAACTAAAAATTTAAAAATATCATATAAAACTAAAATAGATAAAGTAATATTTTTCATAAATCACACAATATTTTATCTATATACATAATATTATTTCCTTACAAAACATGTTAAACTAATCGACTAGTAATCACTGACCACCCTTTAGTCTATATGCCGGAGCTATGAGCAAGACTAACTCTTACTTGCTCAAGGTATATAATCAATGAAAACCTTACAAGAAAGTTCATAAAACAAAAAACAAAAAAACTTCAAAAAGCTTAAAAAGATAACTGATTTTCTCAAAAAGAAAGTGCCTTCCCACCTTCCTAAAAAGTCCCCACCCCCACTAGTTACAAGTAGGGTAATATTGTCTTAAAAATTCATCTTTCTTTTTATTTTTATTTTTCACTTTGATCTACAAAAGAATTTTATAGCTACATACAAATTAAAATTTCTTCTCCATGTTGGATAATTCTTCCTCTTCAGAAGCTCTTATTAATTCTGGGGATTCTAATAGAAGGAAAAGAAGACCAGCTGGTACACCAGGTAATAATTATTAACTAGTCTTGAATTTGGAATCAAATTTTCTTTTCTCGAAAAATTATACTGTTTGTGTAAATAGGTTAAAAACGTTGAATCCTGTGTTATAAAGGGGTTTCAAGAATTGCTTTAGGTTAAGAGTTTAAATTCTAGGTGTGACGTTTTATCTATTACTATTTTAAATCTCTTTTTCTATAAATTCTTGACTCTGTCACCATAGTTATAATTAGTGTTTATCCTCTCTTTTTTTTTATTATGATTTTTATATATTTATAAACTGTTGAATCCCTTGATACAAAGAAATAGGGGTTCTAGAATTGCATATAGGAGTGACCTTCTATTAGTATTTTTTTATATAACAAAATTATTACTGTATATAAATTTCTAGCTCAGTCACTAACCAATAACAAGTCTTTGAGTTTTCTTGTTACATTTATAATATTTTAAGGACCTTAATATAAGGTAAAAATCTAGTGAAATGGAAAAGGGGTTAAAGATATGCTTCTTTGTTATAATAACATCTTCTTTGTTATTTATAAACTATTGATTTTTTTTATTATTATATATAAACTGTTGAATCCCTTTGATTATGTTAGATCCGGATGCAGAAGTGGTTTCACTTTCCCCAAAAACACTATTGGAATCAGATAGATATATATGTGAGATTTGTAACCAAGGTTTTCAAAGGGATCAAAACTTGCAAATGCATAGGAGAAGACACAAAGTGCCATGGAAATTAGTGAAAAGAGAAAATCCACAAGTTAAAAAAAGAGTATTTGTTTGTCCTGAGCCAAGTTGTTTACACCATGATCCTTGTCATGCCCTTGGTGATCTTGTTGGGATAAAGAAACATTTTAGAAGGAAACATAGTGATAATAAGCAATGGATTTGTGATAAATGTGGCAAAGGTTATGCTGTTCAATCTGATTACAAAGCACATCTCAAGACTTGTGGTACTAGAGGACATTCTTGCGATTGTGGTCGCGTTTTTTCAAGGTAACTTTATTATTTCTTATCAAGTTTAAATTATGTATAAGTCTTATTGTTGGCAATAGATATATATATCCTTTATGTGACCTGATAGTATCGAAAGAAAAAAAAGTTATATTAGTAATATACATAACTTTAAGTTATATATAACGTCAACGTATAAGAAATTTTAAGAGGACAAGTGAGGCTAGCGATCAAGTGGTTGATCATCTCTACTAACAATCGGTAGATTGAAGATTTTAGTTATGTTAGGAGGTAAATAGGGACACAATTGATCCTCCTATAAAAAGGAAAGAAGAAATTGAGTGAAAAATTAAATAGTTAGTGTGATTAAATTTTACGTCTCATAAAGTTTGCACCAACTTTAACTAGTACTGTTGTAGCAGATGATCTGTCTTATATTTAAAAGAATTACTTGTAACCTGATAGTAAAAATAAAAAGTATATAAAGCAAGAGCAAATCCTTAAACTATTTCTTGTCGAGTTTAATATATATGCTAGCTAGAAGGTATATATTATGGGCGTGAAAAGAACTTAAATGACAGTTAAAATGGGATGGTAGGAGTAACTATTTTGTGGGTTTCATAAAACTAGAGTAGATCCTTCAACTTCTTTTTTTTTTTCAAGTTAAGTTATGTACAGTGTCATATAAGATTTTTTTTTGGGGAGGGGGGGGGGGGGGTGGGGGGTACTGTTAGGTTATCCAAATAATATCCATGTATAAATTGCCTTACAATATTAAATTTATAATTTTAAAAATAAAATATTTTATTAGCTACAACAAATTGGTTTCAGAAATTCTTTTCAGTAACAGTATTATGTATAGTTAAATTCTTTCTCATCATTTTCTTTTGGACTTTAATAAATAAAGGTGGAATATTCCAGAGTTTCAAGATTCCTTTAGCAGTTTCCTAACTACTGTAATGAACATTGTGACTTTCATGGAAATCTTTAACCTTTTCTTTACTCATTTCTTTTTCAAAGTACTCTATTTAAGTTTTTTTTTATATAGTCGAGGGTTTATCGAAATGATTTTTCTATCTTCTAAGCTAGAAATAAGGTCTGTATATATATATTATCCTCCTCAAATTTCATTCGTGGAATTACACGATCTTTCACTATAAAAAGAAATAGAATTAATTTTTTGCGTAGAATATAATTGTTATGTCCGGAATATGTGAAGAGGAGAGTAGTAAACAAACAAACACACATTCCTCAGTCTTTGATACAGTTTCCAATAGAATTATGACTATACTCTAACTAGCACCTAGCCAATGGAAGTGATATATAAACTAGCTAGCCAATAGAATTATGTGCATCTTTGTTTGTGCTGCATATTAATTGACTTTCAGAGTATGATTATTTATGTTATTTTATCTTTTTGAATATTTTTATCATTTTAATTTTAATATCTTTTAATTAAAAAAATGAAAAAAAGATCAGTATATATTAAAATAAAAAATATTATAGATTTTTAAAATTTCTAGCCAAATTTTCTGGCCATTTAGCATTACTCTTTAATATTAATTAGTCTGAATTTAAGTTTTATATATAAGTTGATAATACAGAGATTTGTTTTATACACCGCACCAAAAGAGATATTTGGTAATAATAAATATTGTCGTAAAAATATTTAGTGATAATTGAGTTAACATTATATTGTTCAGCTAAATATAATATAATGACTAGTTAATTAATGTCTGTGAATAGATTTTACATGTAATCATCTGATAAATGATTTAATTATGTAAATATTTTTTGTATATATAAAACTTATATCCAAAATTTTATCCCTTTAGCTTTTCCTTTTTTCACTTTTTCCTTTTCTATGGTAGCCCTAGGAGAGCTAGCCTCTTTTTTTTTTTCTTGTCTTATTACTACCCCTAGATATATACCTAGTTAGCTAACTTTGTTTGCAAAGTTCAAGACACTAAATTATTGATTGGTTATTTATTCTTGATCACAAGCTAATTAATTAATATATATTTGACCATGCATTTTGTAGAGTGGAAAGTTTTATTGAGCACCAAGACACTTGCACTATAAAGAGAATTAGGCCAAATTTACAAACATTGCAACCAACGACTGCTTGTTCTTCAAGTACTAGCCTTTCAAGTGACACAAATTTACCAAAATTAGCCATAATGCCTTTACCAAATAGTACAAATTTAGAACTTGGCCTAAGAAGTACTAGTCATCATGAAAATATTATTGAAGAACCACATTTGAAATTATCAATTGGATCATCATCATCACCAAAAAATGGTCATGATCATGAGGTACTTAATTTGGTTATGGCTGAAAAGGCGTATGCTGAGGAAGCACGTAGGAACGCGAAGAGGGAGATGGAATACGCGGAGAGGGAATTCGAGAATGCAAAGAGAATTAGACAACAAGCACAAGGTGAAATTGAAAGAGCAAAAAAATTGAAAGAGGAAGCTATTAAGAGAATAAGTTCATCAATTTTGGAAATTACTTGTCATGCTTGCAAAAATAAGTTTCAACAAAATGCACCAATTGATAATGTTGATCAGTCTTCTCCACCTATGAGTTACATGTCTTCAGCAACAACAGATGGTGAAAGAGAGCAATGACCCAAAAAATATTATGTAATGTGTTGGTTAGGATTTTTTTTTGTTAGTTGGTATATGTGTTCATTGTATTTTGTCAATTAATGTAGGGTTTTAGTATGTGTTTATTATTATGAATAAGACTCATTGTGAATCATTCCAACAATTATTTCAAATTTTGTTTTTGTTTTTTGGCAATAAGGGGATGATAATACTATGAATTATATATATTTGTTGACATTGATGAGGTGTAGTTGTTGTTTCGATAAGGGACTTGCTTTAGTGGTAGATCTCATAATTGGATTATGTTATGAGCATTTGGGGCATTAAGTGGGCCTTTGGCAATATACATCACTTTAAGAAATATTGAAAGTCGATCTCAGAAAGTCAATTTTATTTGAAAAAATCATTTCAAATTGCAAGTCGATATTAAAAAAAATCAAAAATTAATTTCCCAAGATCAATTTTCTTTTTAGGAAGTCGGTTTTTTTAATAGTAATGAGATTTCAAATATTTTTTATTTTAAATTGATGAAGTTGAAGTTGAAAATGAAGTCAGGTTTGATTATACAATATTTTACGAAAGAGAGAGACAAGAACTTAGTTTATAAGAATTTATTTGATGAAATTGGAAAACAAAGTTTGAAGTACTTTCACATGTTTGAAAACATGTTATGTGGTCTGAATAATTCATGTAATTAAGAGTAAAATAAAAATAATAAGATTCAATATATTTTCTTAAAATCTTTGATTGTGATCATATAATTGATATTGAAAAGTCAATTTGGATAACTTTGAGATCCATATTTTCAGATAATGGTTTCACTCTTTACTATATAATTATGTGTTGTTTGGTCAACAAAGAAAAACATGATATATATATATAATGGCATAACAATATTGTAGCATGATGAATAGTAGGACCAATGTCCATTATAGATTGTTTGTGACAATGTTTATACCTAACTCCATATCTATCATGGAAAGGAGAATAATGTCTTATATATAAAAAAAAAAAAAAAATTATTTTGAACTTTAAAAATGATAAGTATTTTAAAATAGATGATTTTTAGTAAAAACGATAAGTATTTTGAGACACAGAAACTAGTATCTGACAAATACAAAGTCTTTGGTGTCAAGTAGTTTTTTTTCGGTTTCTTAGTCACTAAAGTAGTCGGAAATTGGTGAGATTTGGTTTAGTTTGGTTAATGATGAAGTTGGTCATATTTTCAGTGCCAATTGATATGTCACTCACAACACAAAAGCAGAAAAGTCTCTTTCATAGGCTCACTTTTATCAGTGAAAAAAATTTAATTAATCTCTTTGTTGGAATTTATTTGATTAAATTTAACTTCACGAAGTTTAAGAAAGTAAAAAAATGTGGTTTTAAATTAAAAGTATATTTTCTCTGTCCAACAATAATTGTTGATTATTGACTTCACACACCCCTTAAGAAACAACAAATTATAAGGGTAATGTTACTTCCTCCGTCCTATTTTATATGTCACATTTTTGCTTTGCACTTGCATGCATTAAGAAATGATGTAACTTTACCCTTCTACTCTTCTACCCTTCTACCCTTATTTCTTTAAAATAGGACGGAGGGAGTATTATATTATTCTTTGACTTTATTAAATTTAATGCTTTGAGAAATGTGTTAGATGATAAATAGTATCTAATAGGAAGGACAAAATAATAGACACAAAAGGAAAATTAAATTGATTTTCTAAATTTGACAAGTATTGTTGGACAACTATATTTAGTATATAGTGGACAATTATTATTAAGCAGAGCGAGTATCAAAATACTCTATAATTGTGTGGTTTTAAAGATGTCAAGTAGAATTTTAATGACGAATTGAGGATATGGCAAACCCAAGTCAATCGTGCGGATTTTGAGGTAGTACTCGATATAAGCGATACATATGAAACCTTACACGAATAATCTCACATCAAAAAGGGAAAGAAGAGTGAAATATTATATAAGACGCATCATAAATTCACATGATGATATGTTCACTTTTGGTTCGATTAAATGGCGGAACCAAAATACATTTCAGTAAGGACTATTGGGTCAAAGCAAACAATACGTAATATGGGCTTCACTAAAAGAATGAGGCCCATAACCATAACAAAGCTCGTGAGGATCTAAGGCATATATTGCATGTGAGATTTTTAAGGATATGATCTCAATTAAAAATCAAAATAATATTTTCTTTTTAATACTATTTTCTTTTTAATCAAATTAAAAAGGAATCCCTTGTCTCAATTTATATAATACTATTTTCTTTTTAAACAAATTAAAAAGGAATGTCATTATTTATATTTAGTAATAATTTGATTTCAAGTTATTCATTGTCCTCTTAATGAAACAATTTTATAGTCAAAGAATTTTTGATGACTTATTTTAAACTTTAAGTTTTAAAAGTTTTTTCTTTCCTTTTAAACTTTGTACCCAATCAAACATATTCACGTAAATTGAGACATAAGCTAAAATCTTCAACTTAAAAGCCACAAAAATTAATCTGAGTTGATATATTCTCCCCAAAAATGACTACACTAATTTCACTAGTCAACCTAAGTTAAGAAGATGTCCCCACAACAAAAATAGAACATACACACCCCCAATTTTTCAAAGCATCTACTGTCTTGGACGAAGCGATATCACGTGACAATTACTTTATCAAAAAGTTTTACACGTGCAGAATTGATAGATGAGAAAAGACGTGACACCGCCTGACAATGTTTGACACTTGACACATTGATTAAGTGCCTTATTTTCCTCTTCAAAGTCAAAAGTTCTCTTCTAATATAAATATTGACACTGCATATGAAAAATTCGGTGTACGCCCCGTTGATGATCATTCACTCTTGTTGAAGTTTAGAGATGATAATATTGTAGAAATTAGAGAACCAACAAGTCCAACTACAAAAAATGCATTAGGGACATACATTAGGGAAAAATAGCTATGCATCTTTGCACCTGAGGTGCCATCTAAGAATGTTCTCTTTTGAAATTCCACAGTTACACCTAATGATGCTCCAGCTGCAGTTGCCAATAGGCCAAACATGATCTACATGTCATTAGAGGCGGAGTTAGAAATTTTTGATAATTTGGTATAGAAGAAAATATTTTTCAATTTCTCCATGTTTTATTAGTCGGTGATTTATAAGAAATAATCTGATCTCTACCTCCAAGGTATATAGGAGTAAGATCTGTATACACTCAACTTGTCCACACTTTACTACATAAGATTATGCTGAGTATATTATTGTTGTTGTTGTTCTCATGTTCAATTAGTCAAAAAAAAAATCAAAAATATTTTTTGTAGAGAAACAAGTACCTTGTAAATAACTTTCCTAGTTGATGTAGGGAAAACAAATTCTACAAATAGTATTCGACATTGATTGTATCCTCACCGCCCTTAAGTGAACTGCATCTTCACCCCTACCCTCAGCGGCAAAGTTAAATTTTAACTAAGCGGGTTCAAAATATGAAGAAGTAAACACACGAACAATTTGAAAGGAATCAACATCTACTATATATGGATTAAAAAAAAATTAGTAGTATAAACAATGTATTTTTCGCCGGAAAGGTTCAAATAAACTCCCTCAATCCTAGTTGGCTTCGTTGGGCCTATCCATCCCCACCACCTCACCCTCACATCACATAATATCTGTCTTGATTATGTACAAATGATTTTATGATAATAACTTTTGTTTACTTACCATAAGAAACTCATTTATTTTTTGAAAAAAATATTCCCCCCCCCACCTAAGCCGAACAGTTGCTCCAACCGTATATATAATTGAAAAGAGAAAAGGGAAAATGAGTGAAGTAGCAAATTTAAGTTTGGGATCTTAGTAGCTTAGTTAATTTGTACGATTCAGTTTCTCATTTTCTCTTCCCTACACCTAATGTAATAAAAAAAATATTATTTAAAAAAAAAAAAAACTATAGTTTACCTTGTCAGCAATAAGTTGAACCAAGTGAAACATGTGGTGATCTATGAGTTGTTTCTTTGCTATCATGTAATATGCTGCAAATGGAAGTAGCAATACAGTGTAGCAAATCCCCATTATCATTATACCAAATACGAATCTGAAAAAAAAATAAAAATTATAAGTGAAAATATTATTGATCCTCCTTTTAAAAAAAATAATCTTCATCTTATCAATTTTTAATGAATTTATCAATGCTTGATGATAGGTTAATCAGGAGTTAAAATTTTATATAAAGAAAACATTTATAAAATAAATATACAATTAAGTTGATTATATTGCACAATTTGATTTTTGTAACTATTAATTACAATATGAATAATATTTTTTGTGCTAAAAACAATTTTAATCATATCACATAATAAATTAACATAAAGGAAATGAAAATAATTAAAATAATAATCGACAAAAAATTAAGTGTATATAGTAGGATACCACTTTATGAACTTCAAAAATGATGAATTCTTAATCAAAGAGCTATGTTACACCAATTCTTTTATACACTACAAATATCATATATCTATAAATGTAAATATAAATTGTTGTTATAATATTATGATCATCATTAAAAGGACATTATATTCAATGAAATTGATAAATTGTCATCACTATATAAATATTTTTACCATGCAAATGATTTTATGGATTAGAACCAAAATGTAGTTAGAGATCTCTTCTAAATGAGGTATTAATCAGAATTACTGATCTAACTAATTCAACTTTGTATCGATCAAATATAGAGAAAGGGAGATTAATTATTTACCTGAATGTCTCAAAAAGGTGGTAGTCAATCTGAGTATTCATATAAGGAACTTCATTATTATACATCACAAGTGATGAAATCAACAAAGAAGCTAAGGTTACAACCCTAGCAATTACTACAATTAATGGAATTTTATCTGATGATGAAAATGAAGAAGAAGGCTTTTCATCATAATCATATTCAACCATTTTTTTATTATTATTTTTAATCTTTTCACATGAAAAGCCTCTTCTTCATTAGCAAATGATTAAAAAAAATTAATGGTTGTGTTTATATAATCTTGATCCGTTTTATGTGATATGTTGAAAGAAGACTGATTCAAATTAAGACAAATGTCCTATGTACAAATTAAAGATTTTTTTTGTTATTTAATTTTGGCTTTTAACAATTTTTTTTATAAAATAATATATAAA